CTACATATATGGTTTTTTATGTTTCGGATATTAAGCTGACACCAGTGGTCTTAGACCAGATCCGAAGAGGCCAGATCCATTCACAAATGAGATGACTCAGAAAGATCTTACAGATTTACATTCATAGTAGGTGCTTTTCAATGCTACTCTCATTTCATTTCTTATTTCTCTTTCCGTACTAACTTTTTCAAAAGGTTGACATAAAGATAGTTTAGATGAGGTGCGAAACTATGGTCGTGCTTAAAACATTTTCTGGAGTATCTTCAGTATGGTGCAGTCCTTCCAACATATTCTCGTGGAGCAAATAATGTGCTTATTATCTATGCATCAGCTGTATTGATGCAGTTGTAGAGCAGAGAGATAAACCAGTTATATGTATTCCTCGCAACCACATTGTTGCTAAATAATTTTGTTCTAAGATTCAGTGAGGAGCATTAGATGTATTTTGAGTTGTTAAGAAACTCTATAAATAATTATTTGAAAAGGGATTCACTATTGTTACGGATGATTAAGCATTAAAATCCGTTGAACAACCTGGGAAATTATTAGCAAGTTCATCATGATGCTGTGGTTCAACTACGATTTACTTCTTTTGGTGGTTATGGAGGAGCTATTCAGTGTAGAAGACCTAAACAAATCTTATATGTAAACTTTATATATCGATAGTCATTACAAGATAAACCTGTCGATGTTTCAGATTTCTTACAAATGCAGACTTTATCAGTAGGTCGTTCCGATCTTGCTTGAGAAATTCGTTGCTACATCGGATGTATACTAAGCGCGAGGCGAAAAGGTTGGAAGGTTTGCCAAGCGTGACTAGTTCATCGCTACTTCTGATGATACTTGATGATTAAATAATCTTACCTCTATCTCTCAGTATATAAATGAGTGCTTGACTACGTCCGTAAAAGAAATCCGAATGTTGAGAAAATGAAGTTTTCAGTAAGGCTGAGAAACTTCATGAAGATCATTTTGGACTATTTCTCAGAGAATATTATGCGTTTTTGCCACTGATTCTGATCATCAAACATTTACGGCGAGATCAATGGCTTCAATTCATCCATGTTTGTGGGGTAGAACGATTTGTTTTTATTAGGCTCTTCGTGGTTGAAAACGAAGCAATCAGTGAGTGATACCGAGGTTAATCTCCTACGCTCATTATTCATACTCATGTTATAGCTATTCTACTAAGACAACCTATAACGTGCTAACCTAGACTTTTACATTAGGACTCAGTGGTTGGCATCAGATAAAAAGAAAATTAAAAACAGTTCAGATAATAAAAGATATAGCTATTAGCGTTTCTCAACAATTTGTTCCACCGATGCACTTTCAATTCCAATGAATGGCTTTCTTTATTCTAACTTTAACTTCTCTTCCGTCATTTGAACTTACTACACCTTGTTAAATATCACAACGCATTGTTTTTTATTACTGCATCCTCTTATCTAGAGGTTCTAACCACATTTCACTCGAGCGATAGGAGCTAGTACGAGTTTATTCTATCAATTTATCATGCCTCTGTCTATTCCACTACAAACTATCAAGTATTGTTCAGCGTTTAGTCCAAATACCTTGCTGCTCACTTGTTGCTCCTTTATTCCAGCACCATGCTCCCAGGGCATAGCTACAGAAGTTCTGACGCCTGGAAGAGACATGGCGTATGCGCCTTCTCAAGGTCACAGCCCATAACAAGCGCTCTATAAATTTGCTTTATAAAAAATATATCCATTAGAAGTTGTATTGCGTCAGTACTTAGCAAAACCGGAATTCCAACACGGTAATGCCGAGTTTAAACCTGGTGTCAACGTTGCCACGTTACCATTTGGGAAGAATATTTTAATAACTGCATTCCGTGCAATACTAGACCATAAGACGAACCATTAACTCTCTGGAACATCTGCACGAATGTACTTTCTTCTATTTTATTTCATTCCATTCATTTAACAACTCCACTTGGGAAGCATACCATGCGCAACCCAATGTTTTAACTTATACATTATGCCTGCAAAAGTGATGTGTACTTGCCTTTACTTACCTACTTGCGCCTGTTACTCCCGATGGAGCGTAGACCACCAACCAGCATTCCCCAACTCAATCTGTTCCGGGCCTTCCCTTCTAGTTCTATCCAATTGTTACTCATTTTTCTCATGTCTGTCTCCATCTCTCGACGTAATGTGTTCTTTGGTCTTCCTCTTTTCATTTGACCTTGAGGATTCCATGTGGAGGCTTGCTTTGCGATGCAGTTGTATGTTTTCTTCAATGTGTGTCCTATCCATTTCCAGAGCTTCTTCCTCCGCCTGAATCTGGTTTGTTCTCTCCCATAGTAGGTTGTTGGTGATAGTGTCTGGCCAACAAATCCGAAGTATTTTGAGTAGAAAGCTATCAATAAACACTTGTCTCTTCTGGATGGTGACTTTTGTAGTTCTCCAGGTTTCCGCCCAATACAGTAGAACTGTCTTGACATTTGTGTATGTACTTGCCCTGGCAGAAATATATTGTTGTTATTACTCATCCCTTCACGTCATGCTGATTTCACAATTTGAACATCAAGAAGTCAAGAAGCACTGAATGTTCAGTTCAGAAGGAGTTCCTGTGATATTGGTAGATGATAATGGTTTGTATTTTGAGGCAGATTTAGTTACCATCTATTCAAACCGTATATGGTTCAGTGACCATTTTGCTGCGCATAGACAGCCTCGCTCTAGTGGTTGGGCAGAAAAATAAAACAGAATATCGACATCTGTCATTAACTATTTCTGAAACAATTAGATAAACCGGGGAAGTGAGTAGAGGCCCTCCCACTCCAGTACATAAATATCATTATGATAATTAGTAGTCAAATTAACGTGCCCACTATAAGTTTTCGAAATAGCGCAATTTTAGACAGGTAGAACTAGACAGGCACAAATGAACATGTTGTATTTGTGATTCGCAATCAGCGGGCAGCAGCGGCACAAAGGAATTAGTAGTTCGTACAAATACCAAAACTATACACTCTCTAACAGAATGAACCCCGTCAAAATTACTGCGAGAAAGGATTTTTCTTATAAACATGAAATGCCCGGAACTGTAGAAGTTACATATTGTTATGAGAATGAGCGTTGGTTGTCTGTGGGGATTTCAGCTAAAAATACAGGAAGTTTATGGTGCAAATCCAAGTTAACGATGATTTGCATAAGCACAAGTGACTCGTTTACCAAATACAGTTTCAGAAATCGGGTGAGTTTTCTCCTATTTATTTAAGTGATGTTATTCATTCTAGCGCTAATGAGTGAATTCGAGAGAGCAAAGCGTCTATATACAATAAATAGTTGAATTACTGATGAAAACTGTTGATGAATGTTTTTCGATGGTCGTACTCATATTATAAACGCGGAAAAATTCATCGAATAGTTTGTAACTAGTGAATCTAACGGTAGACTTGCAAAACGGGTTTCGTGTGCACTTTTTGCGAGTGCGACTTAAAACTTTATATAGACTGCCTTCGCCTTTTCTTCTGTGTTTACTGTTACATGGGAACTGAAAACATTTGTCTCATTAGAAACTTTCATACTGAATATTAACGATTTCACTGTGTTTTGGATGCATTTGTTTTGCTCAGCCTCTGAACTTGTTTGTTTATATCTTTAAATTAGGATATTTTGGTTCTCCTATGTCTTTGGTTTGATATTTGGAAGTTTTTGCTCCCGAAACCTAAAAAACTGAAGGTTCTTTTGTAATCGTTTTAGTTATTAATAGAACGACATTTGGGTCGACTATTTATAAATTGCGAATAAACTTTAGCACTTAACTTGAAGCTTGGTTCTATTGGTAGTTTGGGTTAGTAAGTTGAAAATAAATCGATATACCGTACTTCAATAACCGAAGGGAGTAACAACTTGGGCGTAACCTTTACAATACTTTTTCTTTGTCCATTTATCAAATGAAATATTTCACAAACTTCTTTGTGGTCGCCTGTGGGATATATTTTGATAATTGGGGAAAAATATACATACAGATTCTAAGAAGGTAACAAGCGGACAAAAAGAAAACAATTTACAAGAGGTTTTGAAAAATGTGAGTCTGTAGTGGCATTGGATCATAACCACACAATCCTCAAAGCTGAATACGAGATTACTCGGAAAATAGATATTCAATATTTAACGCGGAGAAATACCTAACGATGAAGAAGGAGCGAACAAGGAATTGAATGAATTAGAGTTGGTCAAATGGCATGACTCGGCCATGCAGGCGTGGTCCCTGCTGAATATTACCCTATATCTTTTATTCATATTAAATATATTGTTCTTCCTCTAGCCTAAGCTTGTTCTTCTTCATGTATTGGTCGTTGTTACGATGCAGTGAGTTGGTGTAGACGATGATGTGACTTCCACGTAAGACCTTATAGATTAGGCAGTTATATCATGACAAATCTACAATTTAAGGATTAGGTTTATTATTAGAGCAGTACTAATATCATAGTAGACCATAATTCTACAAGTCTACATATATTTCCTCAAAACACTGTACCACAGCTAAAAGATTCATATCGGCACCTAACCTGCTCGTTGTGAAAGGTTTAGCTGTGAAACAAAACGAAGTCAGGGTAACTGAAGAAAAAAATTTCAAATCTTCAGTTCAGTTAACACAATGACGAGCGAATGGAGAAAAAGAGGTATGTATGTAACAGTGTATTTGTTAGTAGGTAGCAGCGTGTGTCATGCTATGAGAATGACACAACGGGAGAAAATGTGTTCTAGGTCATACACTTAAGTAACACGTACAATCGTTTATTGATAAATGTACAGGCTATGAAAAACCAACAGAATATATACAAATAACATCAAAAACTATTTACAAATTAAGCTTGTCATGCATATCTACACACATTTGTCAACAGTTTTCATCAGTAATCTTTGACGAATTCAGTAGTACATCATTTGTTTATGAAAGATTATCGGAGTAAAAGTAGCGTTTTTCCGAATCACTCTTTTAAATGAAGTAATTATTGACCTACAGATTGTCGCAATGTTTGGTTCTACGTCTGAAGGTCGTGCCTGTGGCGGCTTGTAAAGGGTCGCGGAAACTTGTTTCACAACCCTGACAGATACTTTGCCATTCCTCCCACGTCCAGCCATTTCATTATTCTGCTCGCTTCTTTCCGTTTATTCCTAATTAATGACACTAATTCTGCTGAAAAATTATCCTCACATCATTCGCCAGGTGTGTTAGCTAATGCATATTTTCTCGTTAATTTCATATCTTCTGGCTTATCGTTACTATTAGAGACTCCTTCACTCTCTTGATTTTAGTGGAGTTACTTCCTCGTTTTTTTAAAAATATACTTTGGAACATCGATCCCAATCTCCGTACTCGAGTACGGAGATTATTAAAGCGTCCCCAGATCTGGAGACGCTTTAATAGAAAATTCTGAGGAAATGACACAAAAACCCCGAAATTTCCTCAGATCTGAGTATATTCCCAAAATAGGGGTGAGTTGTGAAGATCGTCATGTTTAATCATCATTGTGGTTTCTGATGTTATGTGTATTTAATAATTTTCGTAGACACAAAATAAATACCTTATCTTTCCTTCGATTGTAGATTCCAGATCCAGATTTGTGTAGTAAGGACAGAAGACCTACGGCCTACGCTATTCCTTTTTTAGTATGCTTCTGTGAGTGTCCAGCTTTCTGTTAAACGAGTCAATTTAGTTAACGTCAGATGTATCAGATAATGGAGTTTAGTTGACTAGTATTTTAACCAGTAGAACTGATAAATTAAACAGTAGAGAAGGCGGGGTTATCCTGTGCACGAATAGTACCTTAACCATAAGAGAGGCTCAGGGACATGTGAACTGACGAAATGCAAGCCGAAATGTAGATGGCAAGATATTGAATTAGTTGTAGTATATCGCAGTCCAGAATGTGTAGTAGATGATGTTCTCTTAAGTAAACTAAAGTCCTGGTTTAACAAGGGTAAAAGTCTTGTAGTAGGCTACTTTAATACACAGCATATAAGCTAGGTTAACTATGAAGTAGGGTCATCGATAACGTCGCTCGATTGCAAACTATAAGAAACCTCGATAGGATTAGCTTTATTCCAACACATCAGAAACCCAACAAGATATGACTTAAAAAACTATTCTTCTCTTTTAAATTTAGTCTTCACACACGGTGATGACGTTGGTCAAATGACTTTTCTCCCATCACTAGGGAGAAGTGACCATTCAGTCATCTTATTCAAATTCATGATTGAGATGGCCTGTCAAACAGTTGCCCTGGCCCGTCCTAATTTATGGAAGACAGATATAAAGGCAACCAACTCCGCAGCATCGGCTGAAAACTGAGAAATTGATTCAAGGGCATCAGTACAAGAGGCATGGACTCTTTTCAGGCAGTTATACAATCGAGTAACTCAACAATGCATACCCTGGACAGTTCCAAAGAAGAAGAAGCACGACCATCCCTGGATAGGCCGGGATATTCGACGTCTACTAAGACAAAAGAAGAAATGTTGGGATGTTGCCATCCGCCTTGGTACAGCAGGTACGATGGAACGCTACGAATCGGTAAGAAACAAGTGTATAACGAAAATTCGTGAATCTCAAAGAAAATATGAAATGCAGTTGGCACAATCTGCACTCAAGCAGCCCAAGAAAATATTCTCGTACATAAACTACAGAACAAGGATGCATTATTGGATTCCCAACCTAATTAAAGAAGGGAGTGAATCTGAAATGATAGAGGAAGATCAGGAAGAAGCAGAGGCTATGGCTGACTATTTTGGGGCAGTTTTCACTCAGGAACCTTCTCTAGACAAAGAACCAGACCAAAATAAAGAGTCAACAAACCACCTTCTCACCGTGAACTTCGACCAAGATGATGTGCTTAAGGCTCTTATCACCTTAAACATGGAAAAGTCGACAGGACCAGATGAATTACACCCCAAAATCTTGAGACATATTACACAATATATCGCGGCCCCACTGACTGTGATATTCAATATGTCACTTGACCAAGGTGTGTTACCTATGGACTGGAAAGACGCAATCGTCACTCCCATACACAAAACAGGACCAAGACAAGTTCCATCAAAATACAGACCTGTAGGCTTCACCAGTGTTGTAGTTAAAATATTGGAAAGAATAGTCAAACGAACCATAATGGCATTTATGGAAACCAATAACTTGCTAAACATAGGACAACATGGTTTTAGAAAGGGTCTATTTTGTACGACGAACCTTCGTATAGCAAGGGAATCTTGGATAAAGGCGCTAGACAACGGAAACTCAGTGGATGTTGTCTACATAGACTTCAGTAAGGCTTTTGACAAGGTGCCAACTAATAGACTGCTATCAAAGTTGGAAAACCTTGGTATTGCCGGACCTCTTTTAAAATGGATTAAGGATTTCCTAGTAGGTCGTAGACAGAAAGTAAGAATAAATTCCAAGTGCTCCATCTGGGGACCAGTACTTAGTGGAGTACCTCAAGGTTCCGTTCTAGGTCCTTTGCTTTTTATAATGTATGTTAATGATCTTCCAAGTATAGTACAGTCTCCAATGTTATTATACGCTGACAATGTAAAGATCTGGCGAGTAATAACTGGAGACACAGACGCGTGTGCTCTTCAGGCAGACTTAAATAACATGATTAACTGGTCTAAAGAGTGGCTGATGCCTATCAACGCGGAAAAGTGTGTCTACATGCACTTTGGGGATTCGAAGGTTAATAGGTACAACATAGGGGAAGTGCCATTACCCGTGGTCCGGTCTCATAACGATCTAGGGGTGACAGTGAGTCATTATCATAAGACGACGGCCCATTGCCGGGAGGTCGCAGCTAAAAGATTTCGGACCCTCTGGGCTTGTTAGCGGGACATAGACTAGTTTAAAGCAAGCTCAATGCACGATTGCTTTGGTGCACGCTGATTGGCTAATTCTAATCCAATCAGCACTAGTCGATAGTTGGAGAATACTCTAGAATCTTCTCATGTAAAAACTATAAATACACTGACGTTTTCCCTATTGTGCTTCTGGCTTGCATCTTGCTTCCATCTAACCTTGTTATTTGGAATATAATCTCTTTCCTGTTCAACCGTGTTCTGATTTGGGGTCTTGTCCCGCTAACAAGCCCAGAGGGTCCGAAATCTTTTAGCTGCGACCTCCCGGCAATGGGCCGTCGTCTTATGATAATGACTCACTGTCACCCCTAGATCGTTATGAGACCGGACCACGGGTAATGGCACTTCCCCTATGTTGTACCTATTAACCTTCGAATCCCCAAAGTGCATGTAGACACACTTTTCCGCGTTGATAGGCATCAGCCACTCTTTAGACCAGTTAATCATGTTATTTAAGTCTGCCTGAAGAGCACACGCGTCTGTGTCTCCAGTTATTACTCGCCAGATCTTTACATTGTCAGCGTATAATAACATTGGAGACTGTACTATACTTGGAAGATCATTAACATACATTATAAAAAGCAAAGGACCTAGAACGGAACCTTGAGGTACTCCACTAAGTACTGGTCCCCAGATGGAGCACTTGGAATTTATTCTTACTTTCTGTCTACGACCTACTAGGAAATCCTTAATCCATTTTAAAAGAGGTCCGGCAATACCAAGGTTTTCCAACTTTGATAGCAGTCTATTAGTTGGCACCTTGTCAAAAGCCTTACTGAAGTCTATGTAGACAACATCCACTGAGTTTCCGTTGTCTAGCGCCTTTATCCAAGATTCCCTTGCTATACGAAGGTTCGTCGTACAAAATAGACCCTTTCTAAAACCATGTTGTCCTATGTTTAGCAAGTTATTGGTTTCCATAAATGCCATTATGGTTCGTTTGACTATTCTTTCCAATATTTTAACTACAACACTGGTGAAGCCTACAGGTCTGTATTTTGATGGAACTTGTCTTGGTCCTGTTTTGTGTATGGGAGTGACGATTGCGTCTTTCCAGTCCATAGGTAACACACCTTGGTCAAGTGACATATTGAATATCACAGTCAGTGGGGCCGCGATATATTGTGTAATATGTCTCAAGATTTTGGGGTGTAATTCATCTGGTCCTGTCGACTTTTCCATGTTTAAGGTGATAAGAGCCTTAAGCACATCATCTTGGTCGAAGTTCACGGTGAGAAGGTGGTTTGTTGACTCTTTATTTTGGTCTGGTTCTTTGTCTAGAGAAGGTTCCTGAGTGAAAACTGCCCCAAAATAGTCAGCCATAGCCTCTGCTTCTTCCTGATCTTCCTCTATCATTTCAGATTCACTCCCTTCTTTAATTAGGTTGGGAATCCAATAATGCATCCTTGTTCTGTAGTTTATGTACGAGAATATTTTCTTGGGCTGCTTGAGTGCAGATTGTGCCAACTGCATTTCATATTTTCTTTGAGATTCACGAATTTTCGTTATACACTTGTTTCTTACCGATTCGTAGCGTTCCATCGTACCTGCTGTACCAAGGCGGATGGCAACATCCCAACATTTCTTCTTTTGTCTTAGTAGACGTCGAATATCCCGGCCTATCCAGGGATGGTCGTGCTTCTTCTTCTTTGGAACTGTCCAGGGTATGCATTGTTGAGTTACTCGATTGTATAACTGCCTGAAAAGAGTCCATGCCTCTTGTACTGATGCCCTTGAATCAATTTCTCAGTTTTCAGCCGATGCTGCGGAGTTGGTTGCCTTTATATCTGTCTTCCATAAATTAGGATGGGCGGGCGCAACATTTTGACAGACATATATTCAGTAAAATCAAGGTTAGTTATTCGCTCCATCTAGTTACACGAAGTTACTCTATCAGCGAACTTTTAAGTTGTCTGTAGAATTGCTTTACCTGTTAGTTTGCTGCTAGTTGGCATGTTGTCTTACTGATTTAGTGGGAACCCTATTGAAACTGAAGATTTCTATCAGTAGTAATTGTAGAAGGTCTGCCGAAATTAGAGACCCGTCTGTCTAGAAATATGGTATCTATGTTTTCGGCTAAGATGTTGTTTACAGAATATACGTGTGAACGCCTGGTAAAATGATTAACTTCTGTGAGAACATAAAACCATCGGGCGGGGCTAACGAATCGACCGATTCAATATAAACATGTTGAAAACGTCGTTCCGGTGGGTCGAATTTGGCGTTTTTAGTGATCGTATGTTCGTAAATCGTATTCCGTTGATATTCCAAGTAGTTCTGAGTCATTTTAAAAAAACATGGGTCCCTATTTATGTCTATACAAATCTTCCTGAAATCAAATTCAAGGTGGCACAAAAACCGGGGGAGATGTTGGTCAAAGACATGTTTTCTATGAGCTGTTGGTAAAAATGGCCTGTTTGATCTAGTTGAGATGTCACACATTACTGTAAATTCAAGATGCGGCAATGGAATACTGCTGAATATTAAAATTAAATTTTGCTTACAGGCGGCGAGATCAGTGTCGTGAGCCACTAAACTCAGTATGTTCGGTTCCTCTGTTCAAGATGATAGCACCCACGTTCCGGCGTGATTATACATCTACAACAACATTCCATTCACTTTTTATAAACTGAATATTAGTCGAAGACTGAGAAATATCTAATTTTTGCGCTTCTCTAGGGAAATAATGATCACTTTTGGCGTTATAGGCATATATCAAAGGCTTGTGATCTGTAACTATCACGGAATCTCCGCCCTTAAGTAGATGATTTAAGTGTTTAACTGCTAAAAATCGGCTAATAGTCCTCTCTCGAAAGTGCTATATTACGTTAGAGCGAATACCTAACCTTTATCTTACTGAATATACGTTCTACAATCAAATCAAAGATATGGTCTTTATTTTGTACTTACAAACTACTAAATACGCATATCATTATGGTCTGTTTGAGACCACTAAAGCCTTAGCCTTGGTGGAACATTTGTTCTACCAAAGTTTATGTTTCCATGTACAAGGGAGTAGGAAATATAAATAGAAATGAATGAGGATTTTATGCATTATATTTGTATGATATTTCGCATCCCTTTAAGTATTGATGATCATTTCAGTTTTTAGATAAACATATTGGCCAGTGTATTTTCTCTAATTCAAATGATAACCAGTAAACAATATGAACTTCACTAGCAGTTGCTGTATGATCAGAAAATAAACTATTAAATTCAATAAACTGTTATTCAATTTTCATGAGCACTTGGCAACGTTGGGTGTTCTTATTCACCTTATCGGCTCTTCTGGCGTCATTTCTCGCAAATACAATATTTTTCTGTCTTTTTAATTTATACAACCAAGAAATTTACGTCAGAAATAGCATTAAGAAGGTGTCTGTTCATGTTGAGAACGTTCTTCCTGAAAACCAATGGTTAGACTTTTTGTATAAGAAGACTCATGTAAAGTTCTCACATGATATAAGTATTAAAGAGGCGTGCCGTATGGATAACTGCTTCGATTACACACTGTGTCAATCGGAATTTAAGGTGAGCGGAAGCACAATGTTTAATTTTTATAATCATACTTCTATATATTCTAACGTTATCTTGTTAGTATACAGTTTTAATCATTTATGTCTTGCACCTATACAGTATAGTGTCCGTTATTTTAAATTTGTCTGAAGGGTTAAAACTTATTTATTTATTGTAATGCTACTTCATATCACTACTTTCCGATTCTGTCTTATGTTAAATCACACATTAATTAAGGAAAACATAGTTAAATTTCAATGCACGTTTATTTTTCGGCATGCAACCCTATTCCTGTGATTGCTGGTATATTTTCAAGCTCTTAGACCCAAAACGTTTTTGTTCGTTATTTTCTAAGTCTTCTGAGCAAAAGCTTTATACTGTAGAGTCATCAAAAAATAGATTACATAGAACAGTATGACAACATTTTCAGCAAGTCACGCATTAGATGGATTGAAGAATATTTAACAAGTGAGAGCATTTACATAAGGCAATTTTAGAACGGCTTTTGCTGTTGTCTTTTGATTTTACAGAAAACAGTATCAAGACTTCTCTTGTCTTCGATTTTGATTAACTCCTGTCGAAATCTCAAACCACTGAGTCACGTATTCTGTAGAACCCTGTACATGGAGTCTTAGTACTTAAACAAATACCAACCAGACATTACACTTTCCATACTAATACACTACGTAATTTACTGACCACTTAACCTTATTACAATTATTCCCAGGATGGGAACTGAGATGAAATAAGTATGTTTACGTTAACAGGCCAGTGTTTTGGGATTACACCACCAAAGTTAATGCACTATTCCAAGAAACATACAGCGTTAGATCGAATTCACGTACACAGTACTTTTATCAAGTGAAAGCCGTTGTACAGTGATGATAATCAAAAATCGTCAACTCGAAGAGGTCAGGGTGAAGCAAAATAGAATGGATTGAAGCGTTACATGCCTGCTCTTTTTATAAACAGGCTATTACCGTAGTGACACAAAACATGGCTTATGATCTGTCATATGAGAACTACTTTTGTTTGCCACATCTTCATCCGTGCTCACAAAAGCTAACTGTTGTGGATGCTAAGTCTCCAATTATACCGTAGTAATAGGAGATTTTGCATTGGCTGAAATATAATTTTTATGTAGTTGACTTTTCCATAAACCCAGTGCGAGTTTTGTTCATTTGATTTTTGAATTAATCCAGTATAGTTTTTGTTTTTTACAACATTAATTTGTATCAATTAATCCAACGTAGCCTTTCGTTTACCTGCATTTTGCTCAGTATAATATTTAGCTATATTAAATTCTTGTGAATATTGTTCAGTTTAATTATTTCTTTTACTAATCACTGAGTGTAATTGGTTTGTAATCGAATGCGCTCAAATGAGAGTTCATTCTGCTTGGGTCTCTATCGTTTGAACTTCTAGACAGGCTAAAACTTCTATCTCTAACTAGCAGCAACGAAGGAAGAGAATAGAAGCAACCTCGTTCATTGCAACTGAAGTAGAATTTTATTCAGTTAGTCGTCATCAACGTGGAGCCTTGTAAAAATGTGTGTTGCCCCAAGTCTCTGTGTCACGTTACTACGACGAGGTAAAAGTAACGAGATGTATAGCAAAAGAGAACGGAATAATGTGGTAGCATTAATAATGGAAAAGATTGTCCATTCAAAATATAGCTCGAAAGGAAGGATTGAAAAGGTATGTATCAACGTATACTGGAGTTCAAGATAAAGAGCGAATTCAACTGTGCTATTGTGAAGGGTTCTCAGCCATGTCACCCAAAGTTTTCAGCCACTGATTGCGACCATCACACAGACTCCAATTGGGTGGTCTGCATCTACTAACATGGCTCAAATCCACAGTCAATAACTTCACGAACTTGTGAAACGTTTTGCTTTGGTCGCCTATAGCTTTCGTTCGACCCGCTCCTACACCAACCAAGATCGTCCATCGACGTAGACGATAGTTAGACATACGTAATATATATCCTAAACATCTCAGTCGATGAGAACGTAACCTCACTAACCGGTTTACTATCTTTTCCTAATACCCTTGTAGTGTTCAGTACTATGTTAAGCTTACATGGGTTATTCCAGCTTCCGGATAGACCAGTTCATTTACTGTTCTTATGTTACATTTTGATCTTGTTAATTATTCGCTTATTAACCTTGACTGTCTTTATTTGACAGCATATGTGTATTGCTTACCATATTCATCGCGTGTCTGTAACTTGTTTTTGTCTGACTTTAAATGTTGAGTGTCCCTTTATCAAAATGAGTTGGCTCACTCGCCTTCCCCTCTTCATTTCTTTTATTGTCTATATGGATAAACGAGTGTCTGAAATAAATGCATTCAAGCCAACTATATCTAGCTTCAGATTAACCTAGGTAATATACGGAGTTAAATGTTAGGTTTATGTTCATGGCATATAAATACTTCTATACGTTCGTTCAAAGGGGAGTTAGATCAACGGGTCACAAAACCTTAAGCCCCACCCCAACTTCGCTCACATGGTCATTCCATGAAACGCAAGTAATGCTTCAAAGACACCGGCGATCAAAAATCTTCAGTCTACATATGTCCTCCACTTCAAAAGACAATTTTTCATAGCACAAAGTAATACAGGGTAATCTGATGGACAGTGTACACCCAGTGACGAGTTAAGGAAGTCCGACTGAGCTTTTTGAATTCGTGCTTAGATTTCGTCAGACACCAACCCACCAGGGCTGATCAGATGAAGTTGTCGACGCATTTTACTTTACTCCTTATTATTTGTCCAAGTATTGACACGGACCAATCCTGAAGAAACTTTCGATTTAAAGGGAGAAAAACGCATCTCAAGTATACTTGTTTTGTTGTTAAATGCGATCAGACGAAGCTTATTTCCAGCTGATTAATTGCGATTTTAGTAGATTGTCCATTGCTGTACAATGATACGGGGTCAATATTAAAAGTCTCCTGAACGATCGGTCTGGATGGTCATCACATACTTCAGAACTGTTTCAAAAGTGTCATAGGAAAAGTGATGGGTAGTGATGATAACGTACAACCGTATATAAACTCGTTTGCGGTTTTGAATAATGGGGTTATGTAGTTGCCCTTCCTTATGGCTTAGTTATGACTTATGACCCTGTCCAATATCATGTGACAAAATCGCCAACCAAAATACCGACTTCTATAACCTTGTCTCTGTACTAAACCAATGACAACGTCAACCAGCACTAGCAGCCTTGAGTTAAGTTTGAATCCTTATTGGTCCTCAACGTAGTTGCTCTTCACCTTACCCTGTTCGTTGAGTCCAGAAAACAATATTTGCCTCCACTATATGTATATTATACTTCAGAAACATTTAGTTTATATACAAGAGTACTAGAAACCCTCACACCATAACATAAAAAATAACTATTATACAAGACCAAACCAAAAGTAGCTGTGAGTAGGGGAGACTGTAAATAATGGATTAAGAATAAATTAAGAATAGTAAACTGCATAATAATAGTTAATGGGTCAAACAAAAGCTTATGATAAAAGGAATATAAACACATATAATCTAGTTACTCAATAATCATGCAATAAGAATGTGTATAATGATTACTTACTCACTCTTGTTACCCCTCGTAGAAGAGCATAGGCCACCCACCAGGATTCTCCGTTGAACTATGTCCTGAACAGTACCTTCCAGTTGCTATTCATTCTTTTGATCTCTGCTTCAAATTCCCGGCGTAGTATGCTCTTTGGTCTTCCTCTGTTCCATTTCCATTCAAGATTCCAAGTCAGCGCTTGCTTCGTGATGCAGTTTGGTGATTTCCACGATATATGTCCTATCCACTTCCATCGTCTTTTCCTAATTTCCTCTTCAGTTGGAAGTTGGTTTTTTTTCTCCCACAGTAGGTTGTTGCTGATGTTATCCGATCAACGAACATTGAGTATTTTGTGTAGACAATTTTTATTAAATACCTGTACTGTTTTGATGATGGTTGTAGTAGTTCCCCACGTTCCGGCTTCGTACAGTAAAACTGACTGTTTTGACGTTCATATTAAAGGTTCTGACTTTGATATTGGTTGACGGTTGTTTTGATTTTCATGTGTTCTTCGATTGTAGGAATGCAGTCTTTACTTTACCAATCCCCCCTTTACGTCTGCATCCAATCCTTCTTGTTCATTGATGATGCTTTCCAGGTACGTGGATTTTTCCACGTGTTCCAGAGTCTCCATCAAGTGTGATTGGATTGGTGTTCTCCGTGTTGTATTTGAGGATCTTGCTTTTCTCTTGTGTATGTTGAGGCCTACTGCTGCACTGACTGTCTTCGTCTGTATTTGTTGATGTGTATGGGACAGAAGAGCTGGGTGATCTGCAAAGTCCAAATCGTCTAGTTGCATGCAAGCTGTCCATTGTGTTTCGTGCTTGCCATGATTTGTGGAGCTTTTCATAATCCAGTCGACCACGGTAAGAAATAGGGTGAGAGTAGGTTGTTTTTTCTGATAGCCATCCTGATTTCTTCGGTAGTCGGTGGAGTGACATCTATAGGAAGGTTGTAATAGCTGGTCCTATTTCGAACCCACATAGCTTATTCTAGCTTCTGGACAAGCCAATTCATCCATTTTTCTTAAGTTACATTTTCTTAAGTTACCTTGTTAATTGTTTGCTTATCAACATTAACTGTTTTTATGTGGGCATACGTGTGTGTATTTCTTATCTTACTCATCACATGTCTGTAACTTATTTTTGTCTGTCTACAAATACCGGTTAACGCCTGATTAAATCGAACAGGCTCACATACCTTCCCTAATGTGTGTCATTCGGTTTCGCTCCGTCTCCCCGATTGTCTGTGCAGATCAATGAGTGTACAAAATATAAGTATTCAAAAGCTATTCTCGTATTTGACATATTTATTTCCGTTATTAACTAACGTAATTTAAGTCGATGATTATATACGAGAATTGACGATATGTATATTGCGATAACAATCATTCATCCGATCTAATTGGAGTCAGATATTCCAGGGTCACTAAAAGGTCTGCGCGTGCTGCTTCAATGTTTGGTGGATTCAGTGGATCTGGCTTATTCAGGAGTTCTTCAAAGCGTCCCACCCATTCGTTCTGCTGTTCTTAAATCTCAGTGATTGGCTTGCCTAGAAAATGCAGCAGTTTTGTGCAACAAGCTGACTCCAGGTTTGATATCAAGAAACAAAATCATTATCGTTTCCCAACACATGCGATGGCATTTTAGTATATTCTGAGAAATAAAAATGTACTTTCTCTGTTCACTACCTGAATCGGTGTTTTATTTTAAACCTGTTTTGGGTACCATCTCATATTATTTGCATAATATTCTCAGATATATTTGTCGTTACCTAGTTGTTCGCAATGCCATGTCCACAAGCATCAGAAAATTTTGTTTGGTTTATTACTACATCCGTTTTGATAATTGTCTCCTTAACGTATTCACAATTTACTTTATTTAATGCCCGCTCATTTGATTCGGCACTTATTAAAACAATTCACTTCACAGGTTTACGTATATCCTCTCTCGTCAAAACAAGCCAATCTATCTTTAACCTATCAAAAAATCCTCACCGCTTTGCATAATTCAAAACTTCTCACATCAGACCCATATGAAGCTTGTATATTTATTCCTAGCTTGGATACTCTAGATCGAGATCGTTTAAGCCCACATTTCGGTCAGTATATAGCTCATGAACTCGTTAATTTACCATTTTGGAATTCGTTGCCTAGACGAGATCTTGATCGTAAGTTTAACATTTTTAGAAGCATGTAGATCTTTTTATAAACTTAGTTAACTTTTTATGTAAATCACTGATAAAAAATAACATGAGCATTCCTAATAGGGTCACATTTCAAATGATTCGTTAGTTTAAACATGTTAGTGTCGAATTTGAAGCTGTGGTCTCGAAACTCAACTATACTTAGTTCACCGTGGTCATATCAATAATATTTCTAATGATATCCTGGAGCTTAACAACTGAACTGGTTCTTAGTTGTTGAGTTACCTTTATTAAGATACATGCTATAAATGGAATTCTCCACTAGGGTTTCAGTTTATAATCATTTGTAATTTATTTGAACTTTTATTGAATGTGTTTAGTTCCACCCATTGCGGTACAAATAAGCTACCAGTTACCGCTGAGAAAATCCTATAATCCTTTGGGAACGACGGTTACAAGTTTCCAAAAGTTAGTTTTCAACAGGTCCAAAAATTTCAATTCAGTCGAATATATGTAAGAAATTAAAAGTTCGAGAATGTTTGTTTTGGGTTCCACACACATTTGTCCGAAGTGTCACTTCAAAACTCGTATATATTGATGTTTAGTATGACCAGTGTAAAGTAGTTGAACACTCCGCATTCATAAATTATATGTTTATTTGCATACAACTAAATTTCGTTAGTCATAGCAGACTAATGACCAATTTCTCCTATGCTATAACAATGAATATTTCTAATTTTTGCTATATATGCCACAACGTATCACAATAATAGTAGTACTTGTCAACGTAAATTTTTTTTCGAAATTAAAGAAACCTTATACACTCCTATATTTATTTTTCCTTTTTCAATATTTCTATAAAAGCTGATTCACTCTCAACCACTACTCAAAAGCCATCAGAATATGCTGGTCGTAATCACTTAATATTTAATTTACATGCAGGCACTTGGCCATATTATCACGAAGATGAATATCGTTTATGGCTTGGCCAAGCCATGCTAGCTAAAGCCAGCTTTTCGACTAAATATTTTCGTCCAAAATTTGATATTTCTTTACCACTTATTCACTCTCAACATCCTTTACAATCGGGGTCAAGTCAGTTGGATCAATTAGTGAGCAGTGAACATTTACGTGGTCGACTTGATCTACCATATCTTTTAAGTTTTAAGGTAGTTTTTTTTCTATCTGTAATGTTCATATTCATATTGCAATTCTCGTTATAGCCTGAGATAAGTTACGGAACCATTAGAGACTAAGTGGCACTGAGCAGTTTTTTCGTCTGAATTCGGTACTTTTCAACAGTATACACACAACAAAAAATCATATTCAGATCTTACGACAAATAAGAAATCATTAGGACACAATTCGGGATCAACTAGGTTTTATTTCCAGCTCTAATCATTTCACTATATATTCCAGTTCATTAAATGTGAATTACTACTTGTCTAATGACTTGATTAACAGCCGCAAGTCTAAGGTTTCCATTATAATATCAGAAAATACGTAATAAATATTCATATTCCTTTTCTCAATCTCATCTAGTTACTATTAATTTATTTCAATTAAAAATAATTGTGTCATACCATTTAGGATTTCCTATTGTGTACATCACTCTCAAAACTCTTTATTCGTCAAAATAATAAAATCAAATTTATATTGTTGACTCTTCAGAATATTTAGTTCACAATTATTCACAATTTTGGTGTGTTGGCAGACATTTTTACTTGGGATATTTCACTATGTTAACTATTCTAAGATTATAATTTGACTAAGTGAAGGATAAAAATTAACAATACTTGAATATTGTTAATCTATTCAAACATGTACAATTCTAACAAAAGATTGAGCATTTATTTTTTGGTCTTATAGGGTAAACGTTATGTCAGTGGGATTGGATCAGCATCACGTGATATACTTTCTCATTTACACAACGGAAAAGATATAATTATGTTAACTACTTGTCGTCATGGCACAGACTGGACACGATATGCTGATAAACGTTGTGCTACAGATATGGCTTTATATGATGCGTAAGTTCTCTCTGCCTTCATTTTGTCTCCTCTCTTCAAAACTTGTTAATAACTGCACTTTTTAAGTAAACTATAATTTATGGACGAACCAATCAGATTTGATATAGCAGCTGTTAGATTTTGGCCTGAAATTCATTCATTCATTTGGCTAATTAGCATTTTGACATTATAGCTGATGTCAGTTCGTGATGGATACCTAAACTCTAATTCCTAACACTAACGTCCAATTGTAAATCCTAATTTTAATTCTTTACACTTGTTTATAACCTTTACTTCAGCATCTCTCAAAGTTCTTCCATAAGTTATAGTGTCACCTACTTTTAAAAAAAATTTCTCTTTTGATTGACTATCAAATCTTGATAGAATCCAATCATCTTCAAATGTTATAAACCTATTTTCATTTTTACCGATTAATATGCAAATCAACCATTTTCATTTGAAATATTATACATTTATATTTTATCTGTTTGAACTAGTTTGTTTCTATAGATTGATAAATGTTTTCAATATATGTCCAAAACAGATAAATTATTACGTAATGATTGACAATATCCATTATTCACTTGGGATTGTTTGGCTTGTATCTTCCCATTGAGGTTTAAGACTGCAATTGATCAGTCTGTTATTGGTATATGTGCATACTGTGCGTATGCCTCGATATTGCCTTAATTCACAAGCTTTTTTGTAAGCAATGATGGATAGTGGCTACCAGTGGAATCCAGGACGCGCGTTTCGTCCTATTTGGGACTCGTCAGGTGGATGTGCCTGCATCTCAGAGTTGATGTTCACTCTGGGACTCGAACCCAGTACCGTTCGCTTCAAACGCCATCGCATTATCCAAATAGGATGAAATGCGCGTCCTGGATTCCACTGCTAGCCACTATCCACCATTGCTTGCAAAAATATCTATTATGTTTACTATTTTATGATAATGATACATATCAAAGTGGTTCAAAGATATTGACATGATGAATTTTATCGTTATAAGTGAATTATTGACTTTATCATTTTATAACTCTTAAGTAATTATATTGCTATTCCAGCATTAATTACACTTTGTTTTCTTTTTCTGCATGCGATGATTTCTTAGATTTTTGTTTTAATTTTATGTTCTTCTGTGTGCTGGCAACTTAAAAGATGGAAATAATTCATTTTGAATTTTTTAAATATCATATTCAAATTGAACAGCTTATTTAGTTATCGCATATTACTATTATTAATTGTAGTATTTATTTCTAAGCACTCTCAAACTTCAGATTGATTTGCAGTATTTCTTTTCGTAGCGAAAGAACCTTGTTCTAGTGTATCACCTCACAATTGATTGATCACTGGATGGTGATCACTGTCATGTGTGTCAAATCCTTCTTAGTGCAGGGAGCGCAAGTTCCCTCAAGAGTACATGTACACCTTGCTAACGAGTGCCAAGTAGCACGAAACCCGGGGCCAGGGTTTCCTGTTGACTACCTCCAATCACCAGTGTATCACCTCACCCAATTATACCGTAGTTTTCTTTTTCATATCTTAAAAAATAATTGTAATTCACATTCTCTTGAACTATTACGTCCTATGAACCAGATCATGTTTCAAATATATTGATTTTATCTTACATGGTGTTTATTGATTGATGCACCTTGATAGACTGATATATTTAATCTATCTATTTATTTTTTAGATATGATTACTGGGAATTAATGTATAATTCCACGTTTTGTCTTGTTCCTCGTGGTCGACGATTAGGTTCATATCGGTAAAATATTGTAGTTGCATTGAATCTGTAATATTTTCAAATGTTTTTCTATAATTAATATTTTTAGTCTCCGTTTGTACGGTTATAGAGAACTATTCACTGAAATGTAGATTAAAATCTCATTTTTTATGTATCAGAACCTTTATAACGTATGCACCGATGTTGAATAAAATTAGAAGACTGGTATGATTTCTCTTAATGTTATATCCTAGTGAAGATTGGATTACGAGTAACGTCTGAGACCTATTAATGGACTACTATTGTTTACATATTCTCATGGTATAAATATTCAGTAACTAGACTATGTATATCTATATTCCTCTTATTATTATCTTCATTTTGACCTATAATTTACTATTATACGATTTACTGTTCTTAAATTATACTGTTTATTGATTATTGTCTCCCACGTTCACAGCCACTTTTTGGCTTTATTGTGATGGGATGGGATATGTTTGGCTGGTATATAAACCAAGTATGTCTAAAATAAATAATTCGCATCATGGAGGCTATTGTTGGCATTCTGGACTCAGCTGAACAGGCTAGGCGAGCAACGGACCAATAGGATGCTAGGCTGATCAGACCGGTCGGACGTCATTGGTTTAGTACAGTATGATTGCGAATAAGTCGTATTTTGATTGGCGAATAGATTACGTGATACTAGCAGGCCATAAAGACAAAACAATTAATATGGTGCTCTGGTTTATTGATTGAACCAATCAACTTCCAACAATTAGGTCACAAATTCCAACCCCGCTTCTGCCGTATGCCTGGACAGCCTCTTGGTATCACTGATCATTACACAAACAGCGTGGTTCGAAGTCGAATACAATAACCTGTACTTGGTAAATTAGTTATAAAACTCGGAATATATGGATATACACAAGTGATTCTATATTAAATAAAAATCAGTTTACTCAAAAACTTACGTGCAGCGTTATTATACCGGTAATTAAAAGCCAATATTAAATATAGACAAGGAGGTAAATCATCCATTTATTGTGATCAAATAAATAATCGCTTCGACAACCAAGGAAATAGGGGCTCGCTATTGATTAATCTAGGATATTCGAGCAATGAAATCATGAAATAGATTACTGGTTACCCATAGTGGATATAATTAGGTTACACAATTCTCATACTATCTATCTACCTGGTGCTATATCTGAGTAGTTAATGTGATAGTCTTTCATCCACTGTGTTGTAATTTTATTTCCCACTTCTGGTACATTGGTTTTGGTCAATTATTTTAAGAATATTGTCGAAATAAAAAAGTTCAATATTTTTTGACAGTTGACTTCATGAGTCGATCTAAGCTAGACCTTTTGGGGAGATCCAGGAAACTCCTCGAAAAATGCCAACAAAGGCTCTGCAAACGCTGAGAAGCATATTATCCAATCATCATCCACTAGGCTTGCTAGAAACATCTAGAAAGTGAAAAGTCACGTGTCAAGTTTCGGACTGGATGATTACCTATGCTGCTACTATGTTTATTAGCGTTCTAGAATTTTCCGGAAACCCAAGACCACCTAAAATACTATAAAACCCCTAAATTTTCTGTACATAAACAAACATTTGGAGCAAAGCGTTCCTCCCATCTTTCGTGCCTTTCCTCTCGTGTTCACGTCTCTGTGTGGATCTAGCCTGGGGGTTATTAGAAGAGCTTAGGAACCGAATCTAGCGTTCAGTTAGAAGACTTATCAAGACCACCGTTGAAAACCTGGAAGCACTGGACGGCCGTTTCGTCCCGGTATGGGACTCCTCAGCATCCACAATCCCGCACACGGGACCCGAACGTAGAACCTCCAGTCTCTTGAGCGAACGCTTAACCCCTAGACCACTGAGGGGTATCCGACGGTGTTAATGTCTAACTTCAATCGATCTATGATGTCGCTCACCTAACTATGTTGAAAGTGTGAGGTATTGCGGTAATACTACTGGGTAGTTATGGTAGGATATCACGAACTGCGTGAATTTGGGTATGTGGATCATTGTATTCCGACTAAGTGATTTAAAGGTAATGAGTTCACCCCAATATCTGAATATTTTGGAATCAATTCTTAATGTGGTTGTGGGTGTAAAAATCAAAAGAGCTCCAATTAGAAAAAAGAAAGCCATCCGACGTTCCTGAGCTCTCAGTAGTCGTTTTGCTTGAATTATTCCGTGATGTGAGCTATTTTCACGAAAAAATACCTTAACATTAAGAAATTAATGGGTTTTTTGGAATCTACCTTGTTGCTTATAACCCCCAAAAATAAATAAATTCTTGAGTCCTTTTATTTTCGTAATTCCTATCATACTTTTCTAGTGAAATGAGAATTCTATTCGTTCAAAGCAAAGTACTCTTATTCATTGCATTTCTTATTTTTCGTGTTTGTATTATTTAATTAAGGTTCTTAGAAGTTTTGCAGGCTGGTTGTATCCCAGTTATGTTGAGCAATGATTTGGAACTTCCGTTTTCTGAAGTGATTGATTGGAATCGAGCAGTTATTTGGGCTGACGAACGATTACCTTTATTGCTTCCATTAAATCTACGACGTATTACATCGCATCAGATAATTCAATATCGACAACAAGTAATGTTTCTTTGGCATACGTATTTATCTTCAATCGAATCAATTGTTCTTACAACACTTGAGGTAAATATTTCCTTTTGAATTTGTATGATATAGTTTGTACAGTCGCTGTTAGTTAAAGAAATACATTTCAAATATGTTATGGGTACTCCCAAGTTTAAATCAAAACAAAGAAAGGAATGTAAAGATAAAGTAGCGTAAAAGAAATTTGCTCGTAATTAGTTCTTTGCATTATATTGTTTGTATGGATAGCTAGGGAAGCGAGAACATTTTCTTCATTCATAACAATAATATTTTTGTATGTGCTGGAAAACTCCCGGCCGCTCGAATTGAAGTAAATGTTCTCCTTAGGGTTCACTTCCCGAGCCCTTGATCTAGAGGTCGAATCCATCAGTCAGCAGAGCGGTGCCAGGAGACCCCCAGACCATGGTGACCGGTGGCCAAAATAAATTTATATGTTATTCCTTCTCTTAGAATCACAGGGCCCATCTACATCACTGGTTTGCAATGAGAGTTTTACAAGTCCCCTAGGTCGATCATTCATATTTAACAGCCCAGTCTAACCGTCAGACGCTTGCTTTTCGTCCTCTTGCAGTACCTGCACGTTGTGGAGGCAGTGAGTAAAAGTTTCGTAGCAGAAACTAAATTCCCATGACAGTGTAATAGCATTTCGAGAGGGATAACGAGCTCTTGCAACCATCAGCCGTACTAAGACAATTGGGTGTGGATGGTAAGAAAGAAAGTTGTATAAAAATGGGATCTGTTGGCCTATCACGACTTCCTGATTGGGATCTCAGTGGCTTGAGATGTTATCAAACATGGCTCAGAATAGAAGCCAATGGCTATCGTGCATTAGTTTTTTTGGATTTTTATAAAAGTAAGATGGAGTGCGTCAACTGTAAGAAAACTCTCTTTTACTGCTACTTTATGTGAGGTGTATCTCTTATTACAAGCCATTCTCTTTCACTCATTTTTCTTTGATTACACCCCCTTTTTCCCTTTTATTTCTTCCCAATATTATCTCTTTACTTTGTATGGCTCATATTTTGCTTGCTATCCCAGTTGTACCAAATTCTTTAAGGGTAAGAAAACGTATCTCCAAATAAGAGAGTTTGTCAATGGTCTATTTATTTCTATTGATTTTATGAAATAAATTAAAAGGGTTTGATTTTTACGGTTAATATAAAGCATCGTTGCGCTTGTATCAAGAACGTTACACTCATTGATGGAAAATAAGTCCAGCAGGATTGTTTACCTTTCATGGTTTGTGATTTTGTGAGGGCTAATATACTGCTAAGATGCTTAAATAAAAACAGATGGTTTTTTCGGGAAAACACTCCTAGAACATTTGTCTATGTGTCTAACCTCAAGAGGTAATAAGTAAAGCAACGTCAAAGACGGTAGCTTAGCGGTTAAGACATTCGGTTTTCAGTCATTAATTCTGAGTTTAGAGCCTCATCCCGCCCAATTCCGTTTTGGCACTCGGGTGCTATTGTAGTGAACCAACACTCAAGTGGGGGACAACCAAATTATTGTTTAATGCAAAATTACAGAATCTCTTAGTAAAATGTGAGAACCATACAACTTGGGGTTCGCGCGAATATCGTACCCAATGGCTAGCGAGTCTAAGTGATATGGTCCAGAATCGATCACAATGGAGTAGGTGTATACACTCTCTATCTTCCTTTAAACCGTGAGATTAAAATTACTTTATATCTTTCTTTCTACGAACTAATTTTTTTTCCTTGTATCATATCCTTATGTGGAATCCTTTTTACTACCATTGAAGTAATTGCTTCTGTGAATGTGGTATTCATCTTGTTGCGCTAATCAGGTGTGGCAACTTGGACCGATGGATATGTGCTTGGTCCTACGTTGTAACTAACTGACTGAGTAGCTTTCATTTCACATGATTCCTAACAAAATTGTATGCGTACACTTTCTTTTGTTTGGTTATTATTCTGATTTCAGATTATACGAGATAGAGTTTCGCTTCGTCGTCGGAGTTACGAAATTTGGAATACATTACCTGGTGGTCTCATAGTTTCGCATGTAGATTCTATGGACAGTTGTGATGTAGCAGTTCAACGATATCCTATGCATTGTCAATGTAGGTTTTTCTTGGGAAGATTCTGAAAGCGTACCATTCTTGAGCCATTTTTTCACAGTGAACAATCAATGAGAAGATTGTTATTTGTATGTACCCTAATTTTAAAAAGCAAATGTAATATTTCACTCATTTACATAACCCATAAACTCATTTAGACCTTTTTGTTTGGTAGCGAGAGGTGATTAAATGTATCCGACCTGCCTTAGGGACTAGACAAGCTTAGCTCTGTTCATTAGTCAGTCACCAACGAGCATAATGATGACTGTCTTACAGGAGGTTGGTTGCAACCAGAACCGCTGAGTGATAACGTAGTTAACTGAGTAATCAGATGACATTGATTTGAATCATACAAGGCGAATCAGTCCGATCAATAATTCAAATACCCTTTGGTGGTTAATAACAGCTGACATGAGTAAATTCAGTTCTAAACAAGCAAGCACTTTCTCCTGTCTTCTGATTTGCGACTTGGTAGGATTCTAGCGTTCGGGTGCTCAAATCATACGCGGTATATTAAAAATCTGAGCTCAAGGTATAACATTAATAATCAGTGGGTCATTAAGACATAGCTGTCTTATTTTTACGATAGATGTTGACAAACCATTATCATGTCCTTTTTATTTTTGTTCTATTAATATATAGTTGTTTTCTTATGTTAAAACACCTTTCATTTTTGTATTTTCCATTTAAATAGCCGAAATCAAGTCAGGTTTCACAATGTTAATTCCAATACGTGCAGAACTTTGTGCTGTTTATTTGGAACGGTTAAAATCTCTCGGTAAAATTCTGTTCCATTCCGAGTTCTTACGAAAGGTAAAAAAAGTTTATTCCTCAAATTAAGTAATACTACCATATCGAGTTTTCACTTTCGTATGTATATGTGCAAGAGAGAGAAAGTGAGTGTTTTTCTTTCCGAACACAATAAAATAATCCATAAGTTAATGCTTCGACTAGCGATTATATTTAGAAATCTGTTCCAGTTATTTCCTCCTAAAAACAGTACATCATTAAATAAATATCACTTACAATTCATCACACAAACTTTTAAGTACTGAATTTTATTATTCAAAATAATGTTCTTTTATCGATTGCTCTGTAAATTTACTGAAGCAGTTACCCACCAAAGACAATGGAAGATGGTCGCGCACTATCGTGGATTGGTTGAAGTTATACACTGCTAAGGAGTCCCGTACTAGGATGAAACAGCCATCCAGTGCTTCCGGGTTTTCAATGATGGTTTAACATTGATCAGTCGTGTGTGTGCTACTTATATTGACATAATCATTATATGGTGTTAGTCGTGAACAGAAGGTCGGGCAGCAGAGTGACAAGAGGATCGAACAGTAAGCAATGGAAGGAGAATGCAATTTATATGAAAATACATGAACAATGAAGTGTGCGCCATTTTCAGACAATTGGTGGTCATTTTGCAAATTGAGCATTTACTATATGGTTGTTAGATTTTATTAACAAATTCTGTAATTTTGTGTTAAATACATTTGATTGTCCCCATTGGTGTTCTTGTTCACTACAATCTCAGTAAAACCTCAACAATCTTCACTATCGTATACTGATTTTACTGAGTCTTAAAGACAATATATAAAGTCAGAGTTTTATGCTGATTATTTTTAATCATTGAGCTTCAAACAAAGTCCATTATGGTTCCGAGTTGCCTAAATTAGCGGTCTCTTTACAACTTGAGTTATATAATCTGATAAGCTCTGGAAATCAGGTAGTATGACCCGTCTTGACCAAATGTTTCACAATGCAGAGATGTTTGTCTATTCCTATGCTCTCATTTGACCATTGAAATTCATATATTTTTGTTGCCACTTAAGTATGTATTCAACCACTCCGGCTTGGAGATAACATTTTCTCCTCTCTATGCATGTGTTTCCACACAAATATGCAAATTAATAGACAACGGAATTTACCCAATCTTTTACAGGCTGTTTGGATTTTCGACAAAATGTATACCTTGACTTTTCGATAGTGATGAAGAGAAAGTTGAATCTATTTAGTTTAAGTTCGGAGCTACAAGTTTTCGTTTTGGAAATTTGTATTACTACTGCTACTGTTGTTCGAAAGAGGCTGAACAATTATTATTATTACTATTATTATTATTATTAATTATTTGACTGACAAGTATTTGAGAAACAGATATGGAAAACTGAAAGCTTACTCCTTTTAGTAACTTGGTTATTTACAATGACAGGAATTCAGTTAATATTAAAATACAGTCTCATTGATAACTTAGACCACAAACTGAAAAATGACGTCATATTCTATAAACAAGATGTCATATAAATGAAGTGTTCTATCTGAAGTATGAAAATTCAATGAGATATTATATTTTCCAGTTTTCAACTAGTACATAGCACACAAGATGATAGTAAACGAATGTGTGTGTAACTAAGCTAGTTGGTTAGCGACATTACCGAGAAAGGTATTTATGAGATAGCACTCACATGTTATCAACTTGCTCGTATGACATATCCAATAAGAATAATTCTCAACTAAGTCCTGATCGAAAACAGTGGAACTATTCATAATCATATTATATGGTTATTAGGATTGAATTTCAACTCATTATCCATTTGGTTGAGTTCATTATTTTATTCATTGAGTTATAGTTTGACTATGTTCGATTGTGTATACATGTGAAACTGATAACTAATTATCTGTGTACAGATGCTTTTTGTTATCCCATCCTCTTTTTAGATAATTCTGATTTGGCAATGCAAGAATTTTCCACCAAATAATAATGAAGTAAAATCTTATACTCCGGTCCCAGTTGAAATCGTTCTCCCTGACGAACGCTTTACACTAAGATATTCTTCTAATTCTATATCTCCAAGTGTTCGTTTTCAACCTTTTCACGAAATTCCTACCTTGGCTGTGTTTGCATATTCATTAAACTTGAACATTACAGTTGAAGAGGTAATTCGATGTATATATGCCAAAAATTGGTCGTTTAAATTAAACATTTGAATACCAGACTCCATGATTAAAGTATAATAACTTGTGATTAGGAAAATATAGGAATCACATGCATTAACTATTAATAACTACACGTCAAAAAGTAAAGTTAGTAGTGTCTCGAATAAAGGGTTACACAACTTTCAATTTTCTCAATTCTTCTCGTCATAACACCTTCCCACTAAAAAGGTTGAGAGTGAATGACCTACCGGAGTGTATGTATAATAAGCCTGTGTTTTATGCTATTTTTGAAGTATCCACAAACCTTTTAGCTTGGGAACCGACGAATAATCTAGCACAAAAATCTAAGGCAGTAGAAGTAAATTGTGTATTATTGTTTGTTATCAGGATATCCGGGACCCTAAAACGACATAGCAGCTATATAATTTTCGCAAATGTAGAATGGGAGGTGATGCGGTTCATGGGAATTATCTTTGGTCATTTAGAATATGAGTCAACATATACGAAGATATAACTACTATGGAATGGGCTAGTAAAATCGACGTGTACATGCGACTAGGGTTCAGCTGGAGATGATCAGAGATGTGGTTCCACTTTTCGTAGACTTGGAAACTTCAACACATTTTCTGCGACAATGAGTCCTCATTTCTTTCTGTCTGGGTATATTTGCGTTCGACCTCAGTCCAAGTTCTGGAATTATATGTATTCGTTTTCTCCTAGCCATCTATAAGCTACAATATTGCTGTGTTGTGGTTTCACCATTAAGTACAAATCGACATCTTATTTTGGTCATCTCATTATCACGTTTAATGGGCAATCACAAACTTGAGGATGAATGTAACGTTTGTGCTTCCATATAAGTTAAACATGTGAGCAAGGTGTTGGTGAATGCAGTACAAATTTCAGTGACACCTCTTCAAGCTGTTGACTACACGTCATGTTCCTATTTTACAGTAACTATCTAGATTTATTCGATATTGCTGACCCCCACATATTACATCCCATGAATTAAAGCAGTGTCATCAACGACACCATTCTTTGTCCATTGTAAATGACCGTTATGTTCGCCGATCCCGTAGTGGCTCCTAGTAATCGACGTTCAACCTTCCTACGACAGCTTCACTCAACTCACCCAGGGATTGGAAGAATGAAATCTGTCACTGGAAGCTATGTATACTGACCGTACATTGATAAGTAAATCAAGGAACGGGTAGCTGGTGTGCACATTAATCCTTTGTCTAAATTCATGGTTGAGATATGTATTATGGTTGCTCAGCCGCGCCTACCTGGACATACTGTCCTAGATGTCAGAGGCATAGGATAGAAGAAAATTAGGAGCGACCAAACCAAGACGTGCTATTAGATTGTAAAAAGGTTAGCTGCTGTACCGGTTCGTGTTGATAAATGTAAACTTCGTGGTTCAGATCCGCTGGATAATTGCGGCCAATGGTTAAAAACGCTGAGTGGCATATCTTAAAATCGTTTGTAATGGAACAGATCCATTCATCCTTGATCTCTACCTAAATGCTGGATTCCCGTGTTTTATTCCTTTCTTTGTCTCATCTTATTATCATTACTATTACCTTAATTCCGAGTCATTTGATGCTTCTCTTACTAAAGAATCTCGCCTTTCTTTACCAATGTGCTGTAACAACTTAAGCCGGTGCACACTTGTTCCAGGTCCCGGGTTGGTTACGGCTGACTGATTGTGAGTTAATTATAGTTTACTCATTGTACGAACACATTTCCTAAGATAATCCCAGTAAGATAGTAATATTCCTACACTTATTAAAAAGGTATTGAACTAAATATATAAGCAGTAAAATTGCTTTCTTAAATTTATTTGGAGATCAATTGAAATTCTCTCATAGGAACCTCAGAGTACAAATGGCATGGATTAACGTTTATTTTGATTTTAATACAGAAATCAAACGCTCCACCTCAAAATTGGCACTATGTAACTAGAGGTTTTATTAATGTAAAAAAATGAGAAGCTTAAACTGTAACGTTTCTTATTAGAAACTTTAATGAACCTACATCAGTAATCCAGAATAGTTCTGAATGTGCTGATCAGCAGAAAAACTAAACAGGTAACTCAACTTAAGTAATACAACTGAAGAAAGAACTATTGGTACTTATCTCCATAAGATTTCAAACAGTTGAATTCTGTTAATATATCATTACAGAGTTAAAATGGTCACTCGCTTAAAGCAATCCAGGTGTAAAACTTGATTATGATAAAGGGACATGTTATAAAATACAAATAAAAAGATAAATTAACATCGAAACAAAAATTTTCACTTAAAATCTGTATTATGTACTCATTCATGTTGATTAATCGGTGTTTAGATCGTATATTCAACATTTTTATTATCGATAGTTTTTTACACATTTGTTAGAAAATAACAAAACAAATAATCCCACAGTGATAAAATTAGACTGATTTTATATATTGGAACACAAATTATAATGAAATCCAAAGACGTTTTGACGGATTCCTAAAAAAACAGTTTTGAGTGTAGTTAAAGTGCTTCGTTTTTTATACGTTGGACTAAAAGTCGATTAAGCTATGAATTAATACTCTCTCTATACTATTTTTTAGTTAAATTTCGCATATCTAACTTGGCAAGAATTTCCTAATCGTTTAGTTGGATTTCAAGCTCGTTCACATTATTGGAATACTACAGATAACCTATGGAAATATGATGATAATCCATCGATGAAGCATTTTTCAATAGTTTTACTAAATGGGGCATTTTATCATCGGTTAGTTTGTGTTACACTTTTTTTTTATTTCTCATATAAAAAAACAAATACAGTTGAAAATAAAACAAAATATTAAAAACTAACAGACACCTTAGTATTTACAGCTTACAGTGCAAATGTTCAAGTTGCGTTCTGTGAGCAAATGACGAAAGTATTTCTCAGGATGGTGTCATCAATACAACTCTGTATGTAGCAATGCTATGTAGAGCCTGCAATTCCGCGCTTAGCCTCATCACTTGTCGTCTTAATTTCAAGCAAACATTGGTCATACCCGACTATTATTTTGTATCTATGTAACCAATTGGCTGGTCTCCTACAGCCGATCAAATCGATTCATCCATTATACAGCTGTACTGATTACTGCGTCTGTCAAATAGATGTGGAAAAAATACTGAATCTGATAACTGTTGTTTTGTACACATATTGGTTAAATTTTCTCACTGTTTTTAGGTAGTCAGTCAGCTACAACGTAGGACCAGGCACATATGTGCATCGGTCCAAGTTGCCACACCTCAATAACACAACAAGACGGACACCGGATTCATAAAAGTAGTTAATTCAGAGGTGGTAATATATAAAAGAAAGATTGCAATAAGGATATAGTAC